TTTACCCGCTTGTTCTGCTATGGTACCTTCCCCAAAAGTAGCGCATATCTTACGACAAGCTTCTGCAGTTTTGGTGCTAAGTTTAAACTCATAAAGTAAACAGGCGCAAATTATTGCATTTGACACAGTCATACTCAACTTAAGAATTTTAAATTTAAATTGCACTAATAAAACTTATGAAACACACTGATTGATTTTCCTTGAAACAAGTTTCAATTTATAAACAAAATTATCTCCCTACCACAACCATTATCTTATAATACTTTTGTTAGTAAATAGGAATTGGGAAAAACCGCACAAACTTTATTGGTTACCTGATATAATAAATACAAAATTACAAAACTTAGGTTTTTTTTTTAATGGAGAGTTTTAGGCAATCTTAGCAACATTTAAGTTTATTTTCAATAGCATATTGATATTTAGCTATCTGAAAACCTATTTCAGTATTCTATGTTATTGGAATAAACTGAAGCAGGCAATCAGTTAACAAAAAATCCAGCTCAAAATAATGTAAGTACTCAAAGAAAATCTAACTATTATTAAACCATTTTAATAAAATAAGAATAAAACAATTATACTGCAAACAAGACTCTTAACTATAACAAAAATTAAGTTTTTATATTTGAGCCGTAAAAAATTTGTTGCATTTTCTATTAAAAATAAAGAGGCCAGTCTTTATTTTTAATGGAAAATGCAACAAATCAGGTCATGTAATTTTAGTAAGCCATGCCATAACTTATTAAAAACTTTGATGGGTGTAAAAATCAGCAAAATCTGAGACTTATAGATCATAAAAAATCTTTTAGGAGGAGATGCAGATTGCAATTTACACTAATTTATACATCTTAATGATCCTTGGGGATCCCTAAATATTATTTAAATGTCACTGGCACAGAAAATTAACATTAATTTCTATGAGTGAATTCACAAAGTTGTTCACTGACTTGGTTACACCTTTGGTAGATATCAGCAGTATGTTATGATGGAGAAATCCATAAATCAAAATTGATAACTCCTTTTTAAAGCATTGTTTCTAAACAAAAAAAAAGCCAATATATCCTTTTCAATGCATTGTTTCTAAACAAAAAAAGCCAATATATCCTTTTCGAAGCATTGTTTCTAAACAAAAAATAAACTAATATATCCTTTTCAATGCATAGTTTCTAAACAAAGAAAAAAGCCAATACATCCTTTTCAATGCATTGCTTCTAAAAAAAAAAAGAAAAGCCAATATATCTTTTTGTTGTTTGAAGTGCTACAGATTTTTATATCAATTATATTGCTTAATGCTAGCATGTATTGTGAATTAACAAAGATGAAAAAAATTATTTCTTTTGCAAAATTCACATATGGAATGCCAATGACTTGTCCTGATCCCTGACAGGCATGCTGAAGTATACCTTGGAGACCTCACATGTTTGACCTATCTTACTTTTATAAATTTTCACATAGCAAAATGCATATGCTTAATGAAAATAACCTCTTAATGATATTCAAATTAAATAGTTTCTCCTCATTTGACTAATCTCATTATCAGCAAAGAACTTTTTGACACTTTTTAGTTCAATCAACTCTTTATTATTAAAATCAAAAAAAGAAACATTTTTGGTAGAGTAACTCCTTTAGTAACATGAGGAAGATCTGTTTTGCAGAGGTGAAGATGACTCTTTCTTGTTAAACTTTCCTTTTGCCTGGACATTTGGGAAAGATGCAAAATTTGTTGCTTGCAGGGCAGTTTTTTTGTTTGTTTTAAAGCTTAAAATTTAAAAACCCCTTTGAAAAATAATAAAAGTTTTCAACCCAAACATTTGGCTTTACACATATTTAACTTTTGTTAACCAAACTTAAAATGATTTCTAAGCATTTTTATTCAAAATCTTAAACTTAAAAGCATAAAATATAATATGTTTAATATGAGTTCCATAAACTTTTTTTTTATAACTTTTTTTAAAAAGAATTTTTAGTGTAAAAAATTTAGGTTTATAAAAATTAAATGATTTAAAATACTAATAAAATTGTTATTTGTTTTTACCTTTAGATTTATACTAAAAAATATCCAAATAATAATGTTGTTATTAGTTTTTACCTTAAGTTTTATACTAAAAAAATCCAACTAATAACATTGTTATTTGTTTTTACCTTTAGTTTTATTTTAAAAAAAATTTAATTAATAACGCTGTTATTAGTTTAATAATGTTGTTATTTTTACTGTTATTTTATACTAAAAAATATCCAAATAATAATGTTGTTATTAGTTTTTACCTTAAGTTTTATACTAAAAAATATCCAAATAATGTTGTTATTAGTTTTTACTGTTATTTTATACTAAAAAATATCCAAATAATAATGTTGTTATTAGTTTTTACTGTTATTTTATACTAAAAAATATCCAAATAATGTTGTTATTAATTTTTACTGTTATTTTATACTAAAAAATATCCAAATAATAATGTTGTTATTAGTTTTTACTGTTATTTTATACTAAAAAATATCCAAATAATAATGTTGTTATTAGTTTTTACTGTTATTTTATACTAAAAAATATCCAAATAATAATGTTGTTATTAGTTTTTACTGTTATTTTATACTAAAAAATATCCAAATAATAATGTTGTTATTAGTTTTTACTGTTATTTTATACTAAAAAATATCCAAATAATAATGTTGTTATTAGTTTTTACTGTTATTTTATACTAAAAAATATCCAAATAATAATGTTGTTATTAGTTTTTACTGTTATTTTATACTAAAAAATATCCAAATAATAATGTTGTTATTAGTTTTTACTGTTATTTTATACTAAAAAATATCCAAATAATAATGTTGTTATTAGTTTTTACTGTTATTTTATCCTAAAAAAATCCAACTTTTAACTTTATTATTAGTTTTGACCTTAAATATACTTATTAGTTTTATATTTAAAAAATTAGTATTTAATTTCAAATAAAGTATGATTTAATTTTTTAAGTTTATAAAAATTAGTTTTAAGAGATTGTTTCCTTATAATTTTCATTAATGTTTTAAGTGAAATTATAAAGACATTAAAAATGTGCCTTGCTTATACTTCAAATTTTAATATTTCTTTCAAAAGTTTAAAAGAAAATTTAAATGAAGGTTTACTATTTTTACATTTTATACAAAGTACTATGAAAAAACATAAAAACTAACTTGTTATTTTCAATTAATTACATATACATATATATATATATATATATATATATATATATATATATATATATATATATATATATATATATATATATATATATATATATATATATATATATATATATACAGTATTGGCCAAAAGTTTGAATCCACCTCAAATTTTTGGCCAAAACTGAAAATTTTTTGCATTGTTTATTTGTAATTTGTTTATATTGTTATACTATTGATTGATTGTTAGAAAAATTGCTTGACATACTTTTAATCTATTTGTGCTGTATATTTTGTGTTTTTGTGTATTTCTAGTGAATTTATTGATAATTTTTACAATGGTTCGTGGTAATGAATTATCCATTATAAAACATGCTCAAGTTCGTTTGCTATTTGATGAAGGTCACAGTCAGCGGCAAATTGTAAGTAAATTAAGTGTGTCTCGTGGTGCTGTCCAAAAGTGTATTAGCCGTTTCCTTGATCATAACACTTCTAATTACCTTTCAAGAAGGAGAAGTGGAAGACCAAAGGTAACTTCCATGCGCACAGACACTGCAATTGTAAGGTGTGCCAAGCTCTTTTTGCTGGGCTGAAGTCAAGGCGACCTGCAAAAAAGCCACTGTTGTCTCAAAAAAACATACAAGACCGGTTGGCATTTTGTCGCAAATACCGCAATTTCTCATCCGATGACTGGGAGTTTTCGGATGAGTCTACTTTCAATCAATTTTACACTTTCCAACGACACGTTCGTTGCCCAGATGGGAAGAGGAACGAAGCCAAATACTGCATTGCTAGAGTGAAGCAATGTGCAAAGGTGATGGTGTGGAGTTCTTTTTCTGGTAAACATGGACAAGGAGGTTTGTGGTTCATGCCACATGGGAAAACAATCAATGCTGAGACCTACCGTAGAATAATGCAGGAGAAGTTGGTCAATCTTATGCAGATTCACCAGGTGGATCACTTTCAGCATGATGGTGCTCCTTGCCATAGGGCAAGATCAGTGTCAAACTGACTAGCGGATAATCATATTTCCGTGATAGGACCATGGCCAGGGTCATCACCTGATTTAAACCTAATAGAAAATCTGTGGGTAATTATAAAAAAAAAGGTGGCCGCTCACAATCCAACATCACAAGAACATCTGAAAAGAATAATTCAGGAAGTGTGGGCAATGGAAACTAGTGTGGAGTACTGTCAGAAGTTGGCGTGTTCCATGCCTTCTCGTATAGCACAGGTGCTAGCTGCAAAGGGATACCATACTAAATACTGATAATTTTGTAATAATTAATAATGTAACAATACATAACAATGTTTTTGATAATCTACAACAGTTGTGTAACATTTTAGTAACGATAAGTTTATGGAGTGAGCACAAGGCAATTTTATGTTAAAAATTTGAGGTGGATTCAAACTTTTGGCCAATACTGTATATATATATATATATATATATATATATATATATATATATATATATATATATATATATATATATATATATATATATATATATATATATATATATATATATATATATATATATATATATAAATATATATATATATATTTATGCATATATATATGCATATATATGTATATATATATATGCATATATATATGCATATACATATGCATATATATATATATGTATATATATATATATATATACATATATATATATATATATATATATATATATATATATATATATATATATATATATATATATATATATATATATTTATACATATATATATATATGTATATATATATATATATATATATATATATATGTATATATATGTATGTATATATATATGTATATATGAAATTTGTATTATTTTTAGATTTTTTTATCCCAGCAAAAATCGTGCTACGAGTTGATTGAGGGCAAAAATGTATTAATTAGAGAACTTGAGCATGATTTGAAACAAAAAGACAATCAGTTTATTCAAGATCTACTTAATCAGGTTTTATTAAAAGTTTATAAACATTTTCTTACATAATATATTTTACTATTGATTTTTGATCTAATTTATAGCTGAATTTGATGCTGAAGGCTCTCTTAATACTTTTAAGTATTAAAAGTTTTTTTAAAATTTAGTTTTTTGCTTTTTATTTTATTTAAAAATTAAAAGGAAGTTATAAATAGTGTGTGAAGGAAGTTATAAATAGTGTGTCGAATGGAGTTCATAACTGCATTCAAAATTATTGTTTAAAGGTTGCCAATCAGCACTCAGTGGCTGAAATTATAAAATTATAAATTAAATTATTAAAAAATAATTAGATTTTTTTTTGGACAAATTTTCATAAGTGTTATAATAACATTTTATGTATTACACTTTTTGATTTGTGCATTATTTCATGTAGCTTGCATTATTGTAACCAAACTAAAAATTGCTCAAGAAAGAATTTTAATATTAATATTAAGGAATAAATCTTTTAAAAAAATACCCATTACTTGATGTACTCGGTGCAAAACACACCAATATTTTTGACAAATATTATCTATAAGTTTGCTGCAGTGAATAAGTCTCTAAGTAATCAGGGGGTACTTTAGGGACTTTATCACTTAGACTTAGGTATTCATTTTTTTTATTTTTAAGTGTTTTGCAGATGCTCTGCCTTGCCAGGCCATGCAAATTGACCCAATAATATTTTTGTGTTTAAAGCTGAAAAGGGAAAGTTATTTACCGTCTATCTCTTTAGAATTTAAATCAATTAACAAAAAATAAAAGATTTTCCTATGTCATAAAATTAGATGTTACTTAGGTTGTAATTATTTAGCCTAAAGCTGTAGGTTTTTACATTCAAATGATAACTTGACAGCCTAAAGCTGTAGGTTTTCTTTACATTCAAATGATAACTTGACAGCCTAAAGCTGTAGGTTTTCTTTACATTCAAATGATAACTTTAGCAATATTTTCATTGATATGTTTTCAGACAGTGCTATAGCCTCACAATTTCAGATAAGTTGAAATAAAATTTTGTACAAGTTATATCATGGTTTAGTACATCATTTTAAATGAGTTTTAATAGAAACTGTCAGGTATTGATATCTATTCATTTTATGAAAGTTAAAAGTAGGTCATTCAAATGGATATCTATATCACTTTCTAGTTAATAGAAACAACATAAGGTTTGCTATTTTGAATCAAGTTTCTTGGTTGTACATCACACCAAAAACAGTATGTTGCAGATTTATAACCTCACCAAAAATAAGATCTTGCATATAAATGATTATTCAAATGTTTAGTATCTCACTTGATTAATTTTTTATTTACAATGCAGTCTGGTTCCATTTTGTCAATTGACCTTATTTATTGAGGTTATAAATCTGCACTGCACTAAATGGACTCATATCAGCAATATTGTTAACAAGTCGGAACTACCAAAGTTATACCATATATCAATGGACAGTGCAAACATTATTCTCAAATATTTTTATGAATTCAGTATCAGCTTGAAGTTCTCTTAACATTAAATCTTCAGTTTGCATATTACCCATGGCTGTTTCATAACTGGGAAGGCTGGGGTGGCTCACAGAATCTAAAAAACTTTTGAATGCTGCTTATTTTATTTACATGATTGTCCTAAAAGGTAAAAAGACTACAAATCTGTTACTGGTTTTTTAGTATGCCTTATTTACTTTTTGTTCTTCCCTATTTACTTTTTAGTCTGCCCCATTCACTTTTTAGTTTGCACTATTTACTTTTGCCCAACAAAGTAACTACTTCTACAGTAATAATGTTCATCCAAATGATCAAATTTGCATGTTCAAGTTTGATCATTTGGATGATCAAGTTTTTATAAAACAATTAGTTACTGATTATTATAGTTAGACACTGGTTGTGCATCTTAACAGCTGACACAAAGAAATTGACAAGAGAGCTGAACCACTAGATGTTTCATCATATTTCTTCATAGTATTTAATATATTTTTTAGATAGGTTGAAAGGAAGAAAGTAATTTCCTAGATGGTTGAAGAAGGAAAAATTTGAAAACTTTATTTTTTCTCTGGAATGTCTTGAATTAAAACAGCCTAAATGAGACATAAAATATAAAATAAAACAGATATGAGACATTAAAAATTGACAGCTATGAGACATTAAAAACTTCAGTACCCTTTAATACTTCCAAAGTTCTTTGGTTATACTGCAGTTATGGTTAAATCTATTTTAACAAATACTAAGCAGACTATCTGATGATTCCATTTTTATACTTTGATCTAAAAGAATTAATAATCTAGTTACTTGAAGTTATAATGAAATCAGATGTTCTTGAAAAATTCGGAAACTATCATAAAAGTTTATGAGCTTATGAGTTTATGAGTTTATGTATATCTTTCTCTTTCTTATAGTTGTTGTCTGGTTCCTAGAATTTGTTGTTGGGTGAAAAACAAAGGATTTGCTATCTGATGGAAAACAAAGGATTTCTTATCTGATGTAAAATGAAGGATTTTGCTGAAGAACTAGGTCAAAATAAACCATGTTTGCATTTCAAAAAAAAACATAACTTTTTTTTTTTTGTTTTGAAAATATAATTTACTTTGAATTAGTTATTTTAAATAGTTTTTTGTTTATAAAAAATACTAAAAAACTTTTAATATTTTCATAAAAGTATTATTTAAAAAAGAAATTATGCAATAGTTTTCAAAATGAGAAAAATTATATGTCTTATAAAACTTTGGAAATGGTAAAACAATTTATTCATTTGGCTAAAGCATTTTAACAAAATGGCATTAACATATGAAATATCAGTTTTTTTAAATGTCGCTTATTTATTTTTGATCATTATTTTTAGTGCTGCTAGAAGTTTCAAAAATTTTGAACTCTGTGTTCAGACAAAAGAAACTGTTCAGTAGTATGTTAATGATTAACCTATTTTGAATAAAAATTTTCAGCATGAGATAGGTCAGCATGAGAATAAATATGTTTAACAGGCAACACCATAAGCAGGTGTATTGACTTTTGGTGCACAAGTTTTTGAAAAAAAGTTATTTTTTATAATAATGCTTATTTGATTTGTTTATAAGAATAATTTGTATCAAACATAGTGTTTTGGAGCAATTTCTGATATAATGAAGGTTCAAACAATTTATAATTTCCATTCCAACAATTTGAAACAACAGAGTGTAAATCAATGATTATTATGTTTAATTCCAAACAAAATAATTTGTTGCCTATTTACTATTGCTTTTGAACAACCTTTTTAGACATTTATTTGTTTGAGTATTTTTTTTTTCTTTTTTTTTCTACTTGGCACTTCTGTTAAAAAGCATGAGACATTTTTCTGACCATTCTATTGATTTGTAAGTTTTATTCTGCAAGAAAACTGCACTTGATATGATTATTTTTTAGAATTTTGCAATTGTCTGCATATATTTTGGTTTGATGAAGAACAGAATTAAAAAAATAATTAAAAAATTGTTTTGATAAAGAAAAGGAATAGTAGTGGGTCAAAAACAAAATCAGCTTGATTAATGACAAAATGTATGCTTTTAATTTCAACTATAAACCTCTATTAACAAACCACAACAAAAAATCTTCAACTATAAATCTCTGTCAACAAATCTCAAACAAAGAATCTTCAACTATAAATCTCTACCAACAATTCTCAAACAAAAAATCTTTAACTACAAATCTCTATCAACAAATTTCAAAAAAAAAAAATCTTAAACTATAAATCTCTATCAATTTGCAAACAAAAAGTTTTCAACTATAAATCTCTATTAACAAATCTCAAACAAAAAGTTTTCAACTATAAATCTCTATCAACAAATCTTAAACAAAAAGTTTTCAACTATAAATCTCTATCAACAATCTTTAAACAAAAATTCTTGAACAAAATTTAAGTACAACTTATCTTAAAAAAAATAAAATTCAACAAAAATTTATCTTTATATAGTTCTAAACTAAACTAAAAAAATCTAAGAAAACTTTTTTTATTGATAAATTTCACATAATAAAAAATTTAAACTGTTTAGAAATAAAAACCTAATGTTATCTTTTAACATATAACATAAAATGTTATATGTTATGTAATGTTATTTTTAACATATAACATAAAATATACTGTTTCTCTTAAGGTTTTTTTTTCCTATTTTATAGAATTCTATTTTTCTTAATAGGTTTACTCTCTTAAAAATAGTTTTTTATTTTTCAGGCAAAGGATGTAGATTTAATACTGGAAAGAATGGAAGAACAAATGAAAACGCTAAAAAAAGCATATAGGCATGAGCTAGATAATATAGAAGATGCATTTTACTGTGAGCGAAATGATCTGCTTTGCACTCAAAAGAACAAGTGGCAAGTTAATATAAGTGTTGTTATTGTGCTATAAGTTAACTTATAAGTGTTGTTGTGTTAACTCTTTTTATTTTTATGTTTTATAAGTTTTTTTTAATCTATTTTTTATTTTTTTAACATTTTTGTATCCACCAAGGCTGCAAGCAACCACTAGATACAGAAGCTGGAGTGATATGAATGTCAAGCAATGGATCAACCTGTTTATTGGCTGTATCAGGTAAAACACAACTAGTGGAATCAAGAAATGATATTGACGAAAAGTTCTTAGCAAACAATTCAGCTTTGTCTTTAGGTGAGGTGACAAAGTTTGAACCATACAAGAGAGGTGGAATAGATTTGCCCTTACTATTGATACTGTTAAAGATTCTCCAGAGTCACAAGAGCCTAATTTTTGAGATGAAATACAAGATTTCATGACCTGAGAATAGCAGGTTTTGGCGTTAGACAAAACCTTTTTACAATGGTTCCTAGCAGTAGTAAACAGATGTCTGTTTTCTGGAGAATTGTTTTGCTGATAGATATGGAAGTATTGGTTTCGATTGACAATTGCAGCAACACAATGTGAGGAAAACCATGGAGAAGAGTGAGAGGCTTGACTTAAAATTGTTGAGAGGGAATAAAAGATTCCATGTTAGTCTGATTCCAAGAAGATATGTAAGAAGCACATTTGTCAGCAGAAAGACGAAAGGTTTCCACCCAAGGGCATCACAAAGAAAATCATGGAAAGACTCCCAGTCAGCATTAAGGTAATTGTAAGAGTTATGATAATAGGAGGGTTCTTATGATAAGGAAGAATGAGATAATAGTTTTAGAGAGATCAAACCGTGACATGAAGCACCTAAGGGTGAATGTAAAGAAACTGTGCACTCTCTAGGATCAGAAACAAGACATAAATCGAGTAGAGAAGGTAAATGATTTGGGTTGTCAGGAAAGCAAGTTGGAAAGTTGACAATATGTATTAGAGATAGAGAAAAGCAAAAGTTGTGAGTAACTGTGTATTGAAAAACAACTTTTTTTGAATTTGAAATTGTAATAGAGTGGAAAAGTTGCATAATGCTATAAAACGTAACTGTGCCAAATTTTCTTATATTTTTCTTCTTATATTTTTTATTATCTTATATTTTATTATCTTATATTTTATTATCTTATATTTTATTATCTTATATTTTATTATCTTTTATTTTATTATCTTATATTTCTTATATCTTCTTATTTTTTTTTTGTCTTCAGTTCGCGTATTTATTTTTCTTACAAAAACATGTTTTCTGACCTTTTTACAAAATAAAATTTACAAATTCTATGCATATACTAGAGCTGTAATAGAGTTTAAACATTAAACAATGACCAAGTTAAAAATGGTTACGATTTTTAAGAAAATAACAAATTTTTAGTTGCCACTAGAGGGCTGAGTTTTTACAAAAAAATACAATTTTTATTTAAAACAAAGTAATTTTAATTATGTTGTTGATGCTTTCACTTGTCGTCACTGTTACAATAATAGAACAAAAGTAATTAGAATAAACCAAACATTCCAATGGTTACAGCGTTGATTTTAAAAATGACATTAAAGTGTGTAAAATTTCACTATTTATTTCATTTATTACCATCACCATCAGCATTATTATCACAACTATAATCAAAACATTCATTTAATAAATATTCAGATAAATAGCAAAAAGCACAGGTTATAAATAATTAGTTCTGATTTCCATCTGTTTATTAACAAAATAAATTAAAATCAAAGCAAAATTTTAATGGCAAAAATGTCTTTTGCTGCAGTGATAACAAGGAAAAAGTCTACTTATCCTATCTTTGGTTCACCAGCAGACTTACCTGAAAATGTCTTGCCAACATACAAGCATGTCATACAAAGTTATCTTTTCTCAATGCAGAAAATGAGAGTGTAAAGTAGTGGAAAACAACCTTTTTTGAAAAAAATATCTGAAAATTTGTGGGGAAAAGCATTGATACTTACTGTGTCTCATAAACGCATTTTAAAAATATTTCTTGATTACAATTAAACAGAAAAAAGTATAGAAATATTATGAAGTTCATTAACAAAACGAAACATACAGACAAATTGAAGTACAAAATAATAACATTTCAAAAGCATACAGAAAATACTTTATTTGACGTTGCAGCATGCAAATGCTTTTGCTTTTACTAAATGCATCTGTATAAAAAAATGAAGAAGGTACCAGAGAAAGAATATGATTTTCTCAGCAGTCAGAGATTTATGAGGATTATGTATATGGAAGGACTTGATATTCAAACTACTTTAAGATTACGGCGAAAAGTAAAAAAAAACAAACAGACTAAATAGATTCTTACTGTCCCATCAACACAGTCTTGTGCTTACCCATCAACACAGTCTTGTACTTACCCATTAACACAGTCTTGTGCTAACCCATCAACACAGTCTTGTGCTAACCCATCAACACAGTCTTGTGCTAACCCATCAACACAGTCTTGTGCTGACCCAACAACACAGTCTTGTGCTAACCCATCAACACAGTCTTGTGCTTCCCCATTAACACAGTCTTCTGCTATTACAGGTGTTAAAGCTCAAGCAATATCATCAAGCCGCATTCAGAATTCAAGTTTTTATTCTATATCTAAAGATTCTGACTATCATGACACTATGATTTGGAATACTGACACAAAATCAGATGCTGATTATTTAGACACAGCTGAAGGCTGCAAGCAAAAATGAAATAGAAAAGATACACCTGAACAAATGAGATCACGGTTACTATCCTTAGCAAAATCCTGCGATAGAGTAGGTGTTTCAAGCAGAGGTGCTGCATATGTAGCATGTGCTATGCTGGAAGACATGAACATAAATTCAAAAGGAGATTAATCTAAAGTAATTGATAAAAATAAGATTTAAAGAGAACAAAAGAAAAACAGACATTTAAACCATGAAATATATTCAAAGGTTAGAATGTTTGTATTTTGATGGAAGAAAAGATACAACATTAGTTATTGATACAAACAAGGAGAAAAATGTAGCTTTACTACAAAAATCAGGGTCAAAGTATCTAGGGCATGTAGAAACTGCATCAGGACATGGATACAGCATTAAGATAAGAATAAAAATATTTTTAACTCAAAACAACATTGATACATCCAAATTAGTTGCCATGGGTTGTGATGGAACAGTTCTGCATTTCTTAATGGTGTTATTGCTTTGTTTGAATTAGAACTAAAAATACCTGTCAACTGGTTTAGATTTAGAACTAAAAATAACTGTCAAAATGAGTCTGTCAAATACATGCTAATGAACTGCCTCTATGGCATTTAATTCAAAAACTAGATGGACCTACATCAAGACCTAATGGATGGTCTGGAACAATCGGAAGAGAAATTAAATGGTGTGATACCTTGCAAAAGTATCCAGTTATACAAAGGAATACTTTTTTTGTGCATCCAGAAAACATGCTTCTTACTATGATATTAGATACTTGTCCAAATGTAAGAAAATTGGCATTAGAACAAATAATGAAAGCAAGATCGATGAAAACAAACAAAGTTTGAAATTTCTCTATAACAGAAATCAATTTTGAAGCAAAAGACTATATAGACCTAATTGATTATAAAAAATGTGAACTAAATGATTACCACTGACATTTCAGATAAAAATCTAATTGAAATGTTAACAAATGTTTATCTTCCAGATGTGCAGCATTTTCCATGCCATACTCAAGGAATAGAGGGATGCATCAAACTTGTAACCAAAGCTTCAGATCAAGTTTGTGGTATTGCTAGTAGAGTCAGCTTCATGCATGCAAGAATCGCATTGTCAAAAATAATGCCTTTATTCAACACAAAAAGACAGATCCAAATGAATCAGATAGTTGAACTTTATTACAGCTAAACTTTAAACATTTTTCAAAAACATTTTCCACTCTATTAAAACTTTAATTGTACATTATGAACTGCAGAGCTTGTTTGCCAGAAACTCATGAAACAGTTTTTTTTAATAAAAACTCAGCCCTCTAGCCGCAACTGAAGACATAAAAATATTTTCTTAAAAATTGTAACCATTTTTAACTTAATCATTGTGTAATATTTAAACTCTATTACAACTCTAATATAAGCATAGAATTTGTTATTTTTATTTTGTAAAAAAGGTTAGAAAACATGGTTAGAAAACATTTTTGTAAACAAAATAAAACCTTACCGCAAACTGAAAACAAAAAAATTTGGTACAATTAGTTTTTTTGGATATGCAACTTTTCCGCTCTATTACAATTTCAAATTCAAAATTTTTTTTTGATACTCCCTAGTGGTGAGCCTTATTGCCTGCAGTCACTGACACTAGAGCCAAGCCATTCAGTGTGATGAGTATTAAAGTCCCCAGCAACAATGATATTGGCTGATGGATAAAGAGAGAGGGCTTGGTCAATTTTATCAGAAATAACATTGAAAAGAGTGCAGCCTTGAGATGAAGGAGAGTGATATAGAACAAATAAAAAGGCAATAGTGTGAAGTGGTGCAAAATGAAAGCACATAAATAAATAGTCAGTGGATTCAGAACCATAAAACTGCGATTTTCAGAGTGTACCCTCATTAGGAGAGAATAGAATGAGTTGCTTAGTCAGAAAGACACACAAAAAAACCATGCATTGAGTCAAGAATATCCAGCATTCAACATTCTAAACTGGAAACAATGTATTATAAATACGTCTGTGCCAGCCTAATAGATGAAGAAGGGGTGTTAGGCTTGTTAACAGATAGAATCTGTTTACCCCCTAAGTTTTGCTTAGGAGGCCTCCTACAAGACAGTAGCTGGATGCGTTTAACATCTGCCCAAGATGAGTTTTTTTATTGAGACACCATCTCTAGCCTTTACTCAACCAAGAGCCCCAGATTGGGGGTGTTTTAAGTTGGAGTTGGCTTCTCCTAGCCTTTGCCTAAAAAAGCGTACCCTACATTGCAGCAGAACATGAAGCAGGTTGTACATGTTACCAATAGCAGGATAACCTAACCCGACTTAT